TACAAATGGCTCCTTTATATTCCTTAGTAGGGCTAAGAGTAGTTTATTTAACTATACCTGTATTGATGGACATATCGATCATTCTGCCAGTTTACCTCCAGAATGTATCCATTTATACTACCACTAACAGTGTATAGAAATAGTGTATAAAAGCACCCATTTCTCAGAATCTTCATCAACACTAGATATTGTCAATCTTTAAAATTTTTGTTCATATAATTTTTTGCCTTAAATGTGTGGGGGTTTTTTAGTAAATTTATTTATTTTTATTTATTTATTTTTTGGCTGTGTTGGGTCTTTGTTGCTGCGTGCGGGCTTTCTCTAGTTGCAGCGAGTGGGGGCTACTCTTCGTTGCGGTGCGCGGGCTTCTCATTACGGTGGCTTCTCTTGTTGCAGAGCACGGGCTCTAGGCACGTGGGCTTCACTAGTTGCAGTGCGTGGGCTCAGTAGTTGTGGCTCGCGGGCTCTAGAGCATAGGCTCAGTAGTCGTGGCGCATGGGCTTAGTTGCTCTGCGGCATGTGGGATCTTCCCAGACCCTCCCCGGATCAGGGAGGATTCTTAACCAATGTGCCACCAGGGAAGTCCCTAAATGTGTGTTTTTCTGATTAGTAGTGAGACTGAGCATCTTTTTATATATTTTTTACTTATCATGAACCATCTATTCCTTTCATCCATTTTTTTCTGAGTGTTTGTTTTCTTCTTATTGATTTGTATCCACCCCCCACTCCCCCACCCCCACTTTCTCCACCTGCCTAATTCCTACCAGACATTCAAGATAGGCCAGGTACCACCTCCTCCAAAAAGTCTTCGCCAGTTCTCTGGCCTCTCCCTGCCTCTGCCCTCAAGTTAAGCCCCCAACTCTGCACTGTCTACATATCAACCTTGCTGTGAGTTTATCTCCTCCACAAGTTCATGAGTGCTTGGGTCTGTTACCTCTATTTCCCCAGTTCATATTAGCGTGCCCTGCGTATTATAGGTGCATAATAAAAGAATGAGCAAATAATTGGCAAATAGGATGACCTTCAGGCTTATTTTCTTTTCCCTATTCCTTGAGAAAACGATACAGAACAAAATACCCAGTTTTATTCTATTTCATAACCAAATATGAATTTAGCATAACTCCTTTCACAGAAAGAGCTTCAGCTCTCTGCCTTCATTGTTTAATTTTTTTCCTTGGCTTCGTTTTGAAAGTTAAAGTCCCTGGGGTCCTAGGATCCCAGTCCCAAGACCCGAAATCTCCCAGCCCCTGAGACACACCCTCATTTCCAAACCTCACACCTCTGCCTCCTTACTTCCCAAGATACCCATGCTCCTGGCATACGACGGGCCAGGCATCCAGGAAAGGCCAGAGACGAAGGTGTATCCAAAATAATGTCTTATTGGGAATTCCCTGGCGGTCCAGTGGTTAGGACCCCGTGCTTTCACTGCCGAGGGCCCAGGTTCAATCCCTGGTTGTAGAACTAAGATCCCTCATGCCGCAAGGTGAGGCAAAAAAAAAAAAAAAAAGTCAAAATGATGTCTTATTCAACCTGGAATGTTCAATAAATGCTTAGGACATATACAAACTTGTTAGTTGACAAATGCTACATTTATTATCAGACACAAACCAAGGCCTCAAACAAAGGAATGCCACATCCCCATTACGTTATCATAACCTGGATTAGAGAATACGGAGCCAAGCAAATTAAACTCAACACTCAATAATCAAGCCATGGGTAATGAACTTGAGACCCTATGAGAAGGACCATGAACCTGGGCCTTCTGTTCAACCTCAACAGAAGTCAGATCTGAAACTGAATCTGTAGGATCATCACACAGTAATTAGGTTTTAATTTTTCAAATGTATTTAAAGCAATCACTCACTTTGTTTTTACTCTGAATAAGATCCTTATCTGTGGCAGCAGCCGCTGAGCTATACCTGAGTTCCAGTTGCAACTCGTGATAATAGCAGCGGCTAATATTTGTTGAGCATTGACTATGTCAGGCACTGTGCGAAGTGCGCATGCATCATCTCATTTAACCCAGATAGCCAGGTCAGTTCTCAGCAGAAATGGAAAGCACAGCCTGCTAATAACGGAGGATTTATGTTCAGCTCTGCTAATGCACACAAGCATCTCAGTTTCCAACCCATGTCTACAGACTTGCAGGAGCCTCTAGCTAGTCAGAGATGGCTTCTTAGAGAAAACTTACACTGCAACTTCTCCAACTCAGAGAAATTCACACGTTCTAACCTGTTTGCCTATAAACTAAGATTTGAAGGAAGCTTTCCCACTTCTGGGAGACTAGAAGGAGGAGCAAGGCACTGTTATTAATCAAAAAAAGGCTGAAATTAAAGTCTCGCGTTTCACAAGTGTTCATAAACTGCTTTCAGCTTATTATTTTAAAGGAAGCAAACAGCCGTTCCAGAGCCACAAGGAGGGGAGGGCTGGCAAGTTCACTCCCACCTCAGAAGCCTTCCACTTCACCTGGGCAGACTCGGAGAGGGGCCTGGCTAAGCCTCTGAAGACAGGCAGCCCCAAGGAGAGGATCTGTCGGGGGAGGGGAGCTACGGGGCTGAAGGAGGAGCTCCGACCCCACCCTCAAACTTCAAAGGGAGCGGCCAGATCCTCCCTGAAAAGGCTGGGCTGCAGATCCTCCAGGAGGTCGCTCGAGCTCTTCCGACATACCGGCGGGAGCTGGAGGGAGCGGTCGGGGAGGCCCGGTGGGGTGAGGGGAGGGAAACTGAGCCCAGGAGGGGGCAGGCGTGGGGCGAGCCAGAGCCTTCTAACGAAGCCCTGAAGATTCTTGGCGGCCAGAGCTGGACGGCGGCCGAGTTCTCTTTTGAAAAAAGAGAGAGAGAGAAAACAACAACAACAACAACAAAGAAACCAAGAAAAACACCTCGTCTGAGCATGACTCTTGGCCGTGGTGCTTTCACCAGCGCCTCTGCAACGGCTCCCAGAGAAAGCTCGCCAGACGGGGACAGACCGACAGCCCCACTGAGCGGAAGAGCGGCCAGAAGCCGGCCCAGGTCGGAGCGGGTGCTTGGAAGTTTGGGGTGGGGGTGAGGGCGGACTGCACCGACGCTGCCATAATTGGTTCAGAGACAATTGGCCATCCATATGGAAAAGATAAAGTAGATCCCTATCTTACAGCAGGCCTCCAAATAAGTTCCAGATGCACTAAAGACCTACAGGAAACAAGCACAACTACTATGGGGCTTTGGGAAGAAAACACAGAAGGACAGCTTTATAATAGTGGGAGAAGGGACAGTTCCTTTAACAAGGTCTAAAACGTGCAAAATGTAAATGAAGAGATGGATACCTTTGTCTACATTAAAATGAAAATCATCTCTGAGGCAAAAGACATCACACGCAGAGCGTAAAGACAAGCCATAGACCCCATAATATTTGCAACCCATACAACCGAGACGAAATTCGTACAATATCTTAAAATGTCTAAGAGAAACAGCTCAATAGAAAAAAAAAATGGGCAAAGGAAATGAACAGGCAATTCCAGAAGGCCAGTTACAAAAGAAAATGGAATCGACTTTACTTGTGATCATAACTGGAAGTTACAACCATGAGATCCCATTAAGCATCTGTGGGATTGACAAAAATTAAGATCTGATAACCCGTGTGGAACTGAGTATAGAGAAATGAGAATTATGTTGCTAGTAAAAGTGTAAATTGGTACAACCATCTAGGAAAAAATATGCCAAACCTTGTAAAGTTGAAGCTGCTATCTCCTTGGTAGAGATATTTTCCTTCACATTCACAAGTGGACGAGTCCTGTACTCACTTGATGTAAGAGAGAATAGTGGAGACAATCTAATTGGCCCTGTATGGAAATAGAATAGACTGGTTTTATTCATCCAATGAAATACTTTGAAGCAGTTAAAAGGAATGAAATAAATCTACATGTGTCAACATGGCTAAATCACAAAATCTAATGTAGGGTGGAAAAACCGGGTTACAAAAGGATATCACACTCTGGTACCATTTATGTAAAATTTCAAAACAAAAAAATATATAGTAAAAATACAAAATCATGCTTGTATGTTTAACATTTTTTTAATTTAAAATAAAATAGAAACCACAATGAGATACCACTTCACATTCACTAAGATGTCTACTTTTTTCTTTTTTAAGTAACAAGTGTTGGCAAGGATGTGGAGAATTTGGAACTCTTGTGCCTTGCTGGTGGGAATGTAAAGTGGTGCACCCACTGTGGAAAATGGTATAGCAATGCCTCAAAAAAAGTAAACACAGAATTATCCTATGATCCAGCAATTCCGCTTCTGGGCATATACCCAGAAGAACTGAAAGTAGGCAGTCAAACAGATATTTGTACACTCATGTTCATAGCAGCATTATTCACAATAGCTAATAGGTGGAAGCAACTCCAGTGTCCATGGATGGATGGATTAAACACAAAATGTGGTATATGCATACAACAGAATATTATACAGCCTTAACAAGGAATAAAATTCTGATATATTCTGTAACATGGACTAACCTTGATGACATTATGCTAAATGAAATTAGACAGACACAAAAGGACAAAACGGTGTGATTCCACTTATATGAGTTACTTAGAGTAGTCAAATTCGTAGAGACAGAAAGTAGAATGGCGATGGGGGCGGGGTTACTGTTCAAGGGGTACAGTTTCAGCTTAGGAAGGTGACAGTTCTGGAGATGAATGGTGGTGACAGTTGCAGAATGTGTATGTACTTAATCCCACAGAATTGTAGTTTAAAATGGTTAAAATGGTAAATTTTGTTAGGTACCTTTAATTTAAAAATAGAAATTTAAAAGAAGAAAATTGGCTTGAATCCAGCCCCTCTATCTAGCAGAGAGGGCAGAACCACTCACCTACCTGTGAAGCGCGGCTGACTCCAGACACCTGAATCGCCCCTCCCCTCCCCTCCCCTCCCCCACACCCAGTCGCTACCCCGCGGCCTGGCAAGTCTCACTACGCAGACGCGGAGCTGGGGTGGGTGGGCAGGAGGGGCGTGGCCTCACTCTGCGCCTGTGCGGAATTCCAGCTGCAACTGCTGTGGGGGAGAAGATGCCCAGGTTGGGCTCCGCGGCCGCCGGCCGAGGGGAGGCCCGCACTGCACACGCGCAGACCGAGCATCCGCGTCAAAAGCCGAAGAGAGCGCGCGCTCCCCACGTCCTGCGCGTCCAGCTGCCAGGCATTAGTCCCTGCCGTGACTCCCGCTGGGCCCGGACGGGCTGGCGCGCCCTCGTCTGAAAAGCAATGCCCCGGGAGATCATCACCCTGCAACTGGGCCAGTGCGGCAACCAGAGTGAGCGAACGATCGCCGGGCCCAGCCAGTCTCCGGTTCTGCCCCTTCGGGTCCCACCCGAGTGCTTCGCATCCTCCAGCCCCCGCTTTCCTTTCCATGAACCCCCTGCCCTACTGCGCATGATGAACCAAGCCCCGGACCCCAGACCGAGAGCCCTGCCTCCAGCCCCCGGCTGTCACGGCTCCCAGACTCTTGGGCCCACCCTCTGAGAGTGACAGCCTCTGAGCCTCACCCTGGGCTCCTGAGGCCTTACGGCTCTAGCAGATCCAGGCGTCTCTCCTCTCCCCCCAGTTGGGTTCGAGTTCTGGAAACAGCTGTGCGCCGAGCATGGTATCAGCCCCGAGGGCATCGTGGAGGAGTTCGCCACCGAAGGCACTGACCGCAAGGACGTCTTTTTCTACCAGGTGCCCCCAGCGACTTGGCCAGGGCCGGTAGTGGCCCAGGGTGCCTGAAGGGAAGGGCAGTGGCTTGGTACTGGAAACCCGCTGGGCAGAGGAGCCAGGGCGGCTGGCTTGAAGAGGGAGGGCAGGCAGGAGCCAGAGTTGGGAGGACTGGAGGAGTGGGTGGGCCCGAGCTTATTGGGCCCGATCCTGGACTCCCCTCGACAGGCAGACGATGAGCACTACATCCCCAGGGCGGTGCTGCTGGACCTGGAGCCGCGGGTGATCCATTCCATCCTCAATTCCCCCTATGCCAAGCTCTACAACCCAGAGAACATCTACCTGTCAGAGCATGGAGGAGGAGCTGGCAACAACTGGGCCAGCGGATTCTCCCAGGTATCCAGGTGGCCACCCCAGAGATTCTTGATGTTCCCTTCCTGGGGCAAGGCAGGCCCAAGCAGTCTGGGAATTTGACCACACTGACAAGAGACAAGAGTATTACCCTCATAAGAGGGACAGCCAGAGAGAGGTTGATGTAAACTGTGCAAACCATCTGCAAAGTAGCATTTCTTGGGGGAGGGACATAGCCCTCTGTTTGAGGTGGCAGCAGTGTCCGACAGTAGAATTATTGGTGCTGAAAAGAGATGCTTTCCAGAAATTTCATCCTCATCCTCCCTCCTCATGTGTCTATACAGGGTGAGAAAATCCATGAAGACATCTTTGACATCATAGACCGAGAAGCAGATGGAAGTGACAGCCTAGAGGTGAGGCTGCCCCCCTGGGGGGTGGGGGTGGGGAGGAAGCTGAAAAGTGCTGGGGAAAGGTCAGGAGGTAGCCTGATCAGATGTGTGATGGGGGCAATTCAATTCAAAACTCTTCCATTGAGTATCAGATGTGAGATAGTGAGGTAAATAAGGTACGGTCCTTGTCCTCAAGGAGATCCCAATCTGGATGGCATCAGCTCCTTCCTTCTCAAGGAGCCTCAGTCTGGATGGACATAGAGGAAGCCTTGACACATTAGCGTGCTGGGAATGGGGAATGACACAAGCCTGAAGCCTCTCTGCCAGGTCCCTGGAGGCTGCCTCTCCATCCCTCCCTTGCAGGGCTTCGTGCTGTGTCATTCCATCGCCGGGGGAACTGGTTCTGGCCTGGGTTCCTACCTCTTAGAGCGACTGAATGACAGGTAAGCCTGTGTTTGGGGAGAGGGCATTAGCCCTGTTTCCCTGGGTAATGTCTTTCCTTTTTATCGCTTTTTTCTTTCGGACTGGAAGGCCTGCCACTACCACCTTTGAGTCATAGGTAGGAACAGAGCCACCCAGGGAACATCTTGGAAGCAGTAACTCCCAGGTGGGGGGTTTGCCTAGGGGGAGAAGGGGACCTATGAGGTTTGATGCCTTAGGCTTATCTTTTTTGGCTTCTAGGCTCTGAAGACTCAGTTCTGCCCTCACCCCTTTTGTATAAGACATTGGTGGCACTTGGAAAGGAATGGCCCCTGTTATCCCTAGAGAAGATAGAGATGGGCAGTGATGAGAGTCCTTCCAATTCACTATGTCACCTTCCCCTTTCCCTCTTCCTTACCCCCAGGTACCCCAAGAAGCTGGTGCAGACATACTCAGTGTTTCCCAACCAGGATGAGATGAGTGATGTGGTGGTCCAGCCCTACAACTCACTGCTCACGCTCAAAAGGCTGACCCAGAATGCAGACTGTGTGGTGAGCATGCGAGGAGGGAGTGGGGGCTTTGGTCAACCTCCCCAAACCAGAGAGACATCTACACCCTGCCCTTCCCAAGCCCTTGCCCAGAGAACAGAGGACCAACAAAGCCATACCTGGTGGACCAAATTATGAAATAAGGACCTGATCCCAAGTTTCTTATAGTCCCTTTAGGCAGCAAGACTCTCAGCAAAGTGAATAACACGCCCCCACGTGTCTCCACTTAGCCTGTTTTTCTTTTTTTAATTAATTAACTAATTTATTTTATTTTTGGCTGCGTTGAGTCTTCATTGCTGCGCACGGACTTTCTCAAGTTGCAGCGAGCGGGGCTACTCTTTGTTGTGGTGTGTGGGCTTCTCATTGCGGTGGCTTCTCTTGTTGCAGAGCACAGGCTCTAGGTGCGCGAGCTTCAGTAGTTGTGGCACACAGGCTCTGTAGCTGTGGCTCACGGGCTTAGTTGTTTCACGGCATGTGGGATCTTCCCGGACCAGGGCTCGAACCTTTGTCTCCTGCATTGGCAGGCGGATTCTTGACCACTGCGCAACCAGGGAAGCCGCTCCACTTAGCCTGTTTAATGCCTACTCATGCTTACATTCTCAGCCCAAGGGTTACTTTCTTAGCAAAACCTTCCCTGACCACCCAGACAAGGTCAAATTCCTTTGTGCATATTTCAGGCTATAACTATACTTTTCTGTTTTTTTATATTTAATGTCGGTCTCCCTCCTCTAGACTATAGATGTGGTGAGGGGGAAGACCATGCCTGTTTTACTCTCCATAGTTTCTCTAGGCACCATGCCTGGCACATGTTGGACAATTAAATATTTGTTTAATGCACTGGGTGGTAGAAACGTGTCTCCTGATGCCCCAGACACAGTACATGCCCTTTAAATTAGCACACCTACTTCCTAGTTTTGGACTTCTTCCTAGTTCTGGAGTTTAGAGGCGGACTAAGCAAATAACTTATTTCTCTGCCCCCTTTCTCCTCAAAAAGGTGCCGTGACCCTCTTCTGTCCCCCCAGGTGGTGCTGGACAACACAGCCCTGAACCGGATTGCCACAGACCGCCTGCACATCCAGAACCCATCCTTCTCTCAGATCAACCAGCTGGTGAGCCCTCACTCCTAGACTCCTTTGGACTGGAACCCCGCCATCGGGTGAAGGGAGGCCTCCCAGGACAAGGCCCTTGACACAGCACCCCATCCCCAGGTGTCCACCATCATGTCGGCCAGCACCACCACCCTGCGCTACCCCGGCTACATGAACAACGACCTCATCGGCCTCATCGCCTCGCTCATTCCCACACCACGGCTCCACTTCCTCATGACCGGCTACACACCCCTCACCACGGACCAGTCGGTAAGAGCAGCCCGCAGGCCCAGCAGGCCCTGACTTGCCTTTCTCTTTTCCTGCTGCACCCGGAGCTGCCCCGTGCAGCCCCCAGAGGCCCTGCGCTCAGGGACTGGCACAGGCTGGGCGACCTCCTGGCTGACTGGCTCTCCTCTTCCCTCTGCCTGGGGCTCCCTGCAGGGCCTGGGCTGTACGGGGTCTGCTGATGCTGCTGCACAAGGGTATGGGTTTGCTGAGCTCGGGAGGACTGAGATCCCTGATCCCACAGCAGAGGCTCAGTGTGGACCTGAATCTAAGGACACTCCCCACAGAGGCCAAAGTACCCCGCGTCTGACGGGGACGTGTGTTGCCTGCTGCTCTCTGTCCATGCGTTTCTTGACTGTGCCCTGAGTGCTGGCCTGCCCTGTGGCCACTGTCCCCTCAGGTGGCCAGCGTGAGGAAGACCACGGTCCTGGATGTCATGAGGAGGCTCCTGCAGCCCAAGAACGTGATGGTGTCCACGGGCCGGGATCGCCAGACCAACCACTGCTACATCGCCATCCTCAACATCATCCAGGGGGAGGTGGACCCCACCCAGGTAGGTGAGGCCCCTTCGTTCTACCCCCAGAGCCCACAGGGGTAGAGGAGAGGCTACCACCACCACTCCTGTGCCCACCCCAGGTGCACAAGAGCCTGCAGAGGATCCGGGAACGGAAGTTGGCCAACTTCATCCCCTGGGGCCCAGCCAGCATCCAGGTGGCCCTGTCCAGAAAGTCGCCCTACCTGCCTTCTGCCCACAGGGTCAGCGGGCTCATGATGGCCAACCACACCAGCATCTCCTCGGTGAGCCTAGCCTCCTGGTCTTCTTTGGCCACTCTCTTCCACTAGCCACCTTCCTCATTCTCCCCCAGATCCATTCCAACCCCTTATCTTGCACTGGCTCCTGGAGATTTCCATCTCTTGCAGCTCTTTGAAAGTTCCTGCCAGCAGTATGACAAGCTGCGGAAGCGGGAGGCCTTCCTGGAGCAGTTCCGCAAGGAGGACATCTTCAAGGAGAACTTTGACGAGCTGGACAGGTCCAGGGAGGTCGTGCAGGAGCTCATTGACGAGTACCATGCAGCCACGCGGCCAGACTACATCTCCTGGGGCACCCAAGAGCAGTGACTTCCTCCCCACTGCACCCGCTGGACAGTAAGCACAGCCCCCATCATGCCTGGTCCCTCTGGTCCAAATTCCCCTCACCAACAACCTTTCTAGGTTCTTCTTCAGCCCAGGAGTCGGCCCTGCTTCCTCCCTTCCATGCCTGGCCCTTGATATGCTTATTTAGCTCTAATAAAGTAATAAAGCTGCACTGTGAGTAGAGTCAGGCTTGGTCTGTGAATATGGGGGACGATAAAAGTATCTCCCTGGTGCCCCACAGTTCCCAGGCATATGTCGGTAGGGTGGCCTTTACCTGCTCTAGCTGAGTCCCGGTCTTTGTGTGTCCGCTGTTTCCATGAGCATCCCTTACCTAGAACCAAGCTGCTCTGGAGCCAGTCCTACTCTCAAGACTATAGAGGATTACTGATGCCTGCTGTCTCCTCAGTGCCTAAGCTCCTGCCCCAGGGTGGATCAGTATTGCCCATAGTGCCCCAGCCTCCTCCACTCAGGGCAGAGGCTACTGAAGGACGGCCTGCAGCATTCTGAGCGGGTCAGGAAAGCCAAGACTCTATTCCCAGGCACAAGGCGATTAGATCCTCAGGAGTCGATCTAATTCAGCCCAATCTGATAAAAGTAGGGCTGAGCCCATCCTGATAAATTCTTTATCTGTGCCAGAGAAGCTCTTGGGTCTGATCCTGCCCCAAGCTTCTTCCGTTCCAGTCCCAAAGCAGTGGGCACATTAAAGATGGACCCAACCAAGACCCAGAAGCTGGACACCAGGGTAGGACTGGGTAGTGTCAGTCCTGATGACTCACTGTCCTCGGGCCTCAGGGATGCCAAGAGGCCACCCCTATGCCACTCGGTGGAAGAAGGGTGATTGCCAGCTTCCAAAACTGTCCTCTTGCCTGCCCCCCCGCACCACCCTAGGGCAGCCTACGGGCCAGGAGGAGGTGAAATCCAGAAGGTCACGGAGGGTGGAGCCCTGCGGTGTTCAGACTCCCCTCAGTGCTGGTAAAAGCCCAGAGTGTGGGCATCCCCGGAGGTGGAGCTCTGAGCTCTGGGGCTCCACCTTGTCCCACTGACAACACTCCCACAGCAGCAAAGGTTTGTGTAAATAAGGAATTTTTGTGTGTGTGTCTTCTCTTCTACAAATAAATTAAGAAACAAACTAGAAAATTGTCTGCACCCATTGCAGCCCTTGGGTGTGGGGTGTGCCCTGTCCCTGCAGGGCCAAAAGGGTCCATGGTTCCCTGAAATCGCAGAGCAGTCCAAGTCCAGGATGGAGGCAAGAGGGAGGTCATGACCTCTTGGCAAGCTCAGTCCTGCAGCTGCCCCAAACAGCCAGACTGTCCCTGGGGCTCGTCCAGGCCCGGGTGCTGGCTGGGAGGGGAGGTGTCTGGCAGGTCTTGGCATGGAGGAGGACTACTGCTGGGCCTCGCAGGGGAGGGGTTGGCCAAGTAGGCATTCACCAGCTGCATGATCTCTTCCACCTAAGGGAGGGCAGAGGTCAGAGTACACAAGGGGCCACTGGGTTCTCCTTTTTCTTAACCTCCACCCAGGCTCCTTCCCAAGGCCTTACATGAGCTGCCCCCTACAATCTTTCCTTCCTCATCATCGCTCTCCCTCACTCACAATGTGCCAACCATACTTGCTTCTTTCTGCTCCTATAATATCCTAAGGTTATTCTCAACTCAGGGCCTTTGCACTTGCAAGTCCCTCTACCTGGAATGCTGTGCCCCCAGGTCTTCCTTTGGCTAATAGCTTAAGTGTCACTGTTGTTGCGTATCTTTTCCTGACCGTCTACCTAATGTTATGGCCCCCTCCAATCACTTCCTGTCTCACTACCCTTTCCTTCATAGCATTTGTCACTGTTTTAAGTAGTCTTTGAGGGGACTTCCCTGGCTATCCAGTGGCTGAGACTCCACACTTCCACTGCAGGGGGCCTGGGTTCCATCCCTGGTCAGGGAACTAAGATCCCGCATGCCACCTGGTGTGGCCAAAAAAATTAGAAAAAAAAAAAGAAAAAAAGTCTTTGATTCCTTTAGTGTCTGATCGCTGGCTCTGATGTAAGCTCCTTTAGTTTGTCTTTGATCACTGTTGGATCCCCAGGGTCTAGAGCTGTACCTGGCCCATGCTCAATGATTAATAAATGTTTCTTGACATCCTTTCCCTTCCTTCCTCCTTCTACACCCTCTTCCCACTCACCTGGGGACTCTGCAGGAGGAGCTGGCTCTCTCCCACCCTCAATGCCAGGGTGTGGGGGCCCATTAGTTGGCAGGCGGCCACACGGCCATAGCTGACACTGTGAACGGGCTGTGTCTCACCCGGTCGGGAGAGGGACATGGCCTTGGCTCCCAGGCCCAGGCATAGCTTCTGTGGAGCGCCCCCACCAGGCTCCTGCGGACAGACAGGCAGAGTCAGGGTGGAAGGAGGGGACCCTGCAGCATTATTTTTGGTGTGGGGAGATGGCTGTGAGCAAGAAGTTTCCTGGTCCCCCCCCTATAATCCACAGCTCCACAGAGGTGAGGGCCCCAGGGCCAGTGACTCCTGGGGTTTGAGAATGGGCAGCTGTGCTGGGTGTAGGGAGTGAAGTGACCCACAATGGGGGCCTATGGCTCTGGGGCAAAGGTGTGGGGCTCGGGCCGCCAGAGTCCCCCTCTCCCTTCTCCCCCTCACCGTGCTCAGCTCCAGAACGTCATACCGAGCAGCGCCGAACCCTGGACACTGCGCCGCCAGAGCCAGGTAGGCAGCCATGGCCTCAGCTCGGCCCATGCCCCGTAGCCGCTTCCAGCCTCCCAGCACAGCAGCCGCTGTGCCGGCGCCACCTCCTCCCTCGCGGGCCACGCTTCCCGCCGTGCGGCCGGCCCCGCCGCGCCGGGCCCGCTCCGCCCGCCTCTTGGCCAGGGCCGGACTCCAGATTGCCCCGGCCAGCAGGGCGGCGGAGCGGGGAGGCCTGGGCACCGGGCGGAGAGGGTCTTCACGCGGCGGGGCCGGGGTGGGCAGCAAGCGGTCCAGGCGCGGCAGAGGCGCCCGCGGGGAGAAGTCTCGGTGCAGGCTCCGCAGGCGCAGCGCCGCCTGGGCGCGCAGCGTGTCGTCGGGCGGGGACGGACGGCCGCGCAGCAGCAGAGCTTGAGCCTACGGGGAGGCAGGGGTCATCAGCGCGGGAGCGGCGGGGTACCGTCTCGAAGACACCTAGGGGTGTGGAACCTGAGGTCTGGGTTCGAGCACCGCCTCCCCCGGGGTTGCCATAACGACGAAATGCGATGGCCCAGAAACGGAGGGGTTCAGGCTCGCGGGTCTTCGCTGGGCGTGAATGCCAGAGATCCTCACCTGCTCAAAGAGGAAGGGCAGTTCGTGACCGTCTGAGGACAGTCCCTCAGGGTGCAGAGGTCCGTGAAGACGCAGACACAGTCTCCATCCGGAGTCCGGCGGGTCCTCCAGCCCGGCTTCCTCCACCGCCAAGCTGCAGAATAAAGAACGCCGCGATGTGTCCGGGAAGCAGGGGCCCCCAAGGCGCGGGCCCAGGGGAAAAAGGCGGGGCCAGATGTTTGGGGCGGGGCCCGGGCGGAATGGACAGAGGAGGCAAGCCTTGAAGCCAGACTGCAAACCGCCGGCGGACAAGAATCCGTCTGTGAACCAGTGAAATTGACTGTGCCGGGCAAGTGGCAGGCGCTCGGTAAACGTTTGCTTAGGGATTGACCGAAGCCGAGAGGCGAATAGGCTAACGGAGAGCAGGGCTGGGGCTGGACATTTACTTCTCAAACCTGGTGAGCACGTCGGCCACGAGAGTCCCCCCGGCCAGGGCTCGCTCCTGGGGCCCTCGCTGCTCGTACAGCGCGAATGCATTGCGGCTCCGGGTCAAGCCCAGCCGCCCCACCAGCTCTCGAGCAACCTGGAGGAGTGAGAACATAAGAGGAAAGTCAGACCCAGACCGCGCAAGGGTCTTGCCAGTACTTCTGGAGGGGTCCAATTGGAGGGGTCTTTCACGTCTCTTAGTCCCGCCACACACAGCCGTTACCCAACTGATGACTCTCAGACTCGGGCAAACCCTAAGGCCCAGGCACCAGGAGAGCCAGGCATGGGAAGCTGGGAGGAAGGCTGAGGTTTCAGGGGTTTTCTCTGTGGTCTTACCTCTCCCGCCGTGGTGTGGGAGTCTATGGCCACAGGGCAGGCACCACCCCCCGGACAGTGCACGGTGCACAACAATTCCTGCCGTCGGCTCAGCGCGGAAATCTCTGCCAGCGAGGGCACCAGCTCCCGGCCGCGCGTCCGGCCCAGCGCTTTTCGTATGAAGCGCGCATATTCCGCCAGTTCCGAGTCCGGAAGCGCCTGCTCAGTCCTGGGTTAGGGAGAACTGGAGAGTCAGTGCTCCAAGGGCTTTCCTTCACCTCCACCCTATTGCCTTCTTACTTTATAGTTTATTTCGCCTCGCCGATTCCCTCCCCTCCAACTCTAAGTTCCTTGAAGGCAGCATGGCCAGCTCTTCTGAATCTACCCTGATGCTCTGTATGGAGCAGAATTACTTTCTAAGGCCCCTGGCAGCTTTCTCCTTACTGCCTCCTCCCACTTCCCAAAGTTTCCATGACCCTCCTTTGGGTTGAAATCCAAACTCCAGCCGCATTCCTCTTTCCAACCTAAAAGCCCTGGCGCTGGACTGCATCAGCTCCGAGAAAAACAGCCTTTTAATAATTCTGCTGCCCAAAGCGGGAGGCTTTTTGTAATTCCTCTGCCCGCAAGTGGTGTATGATCTTGTAATTCCCACAAAGGCACTATGCATGTTAGCAGAGCCCTGACCTTGGGGCAAGTCCCTTCCCTTGTCTGGGTCCAAGTTCTCCATCTGCCAAACTCTTTGGAAAGACCTGCCATTCTTTTCCAGCCCCTTAGCTCCCTTGCCTTGGCCTTACCCCCACGCCTCCCCTCTCACCTCTCCAGATGCCCCAGGAGGTGCCCCCGTACAGGCCCACCAGGCCGGAAGGTACAGCTCATGCAAGTGAGGAGCTGCCAGTACCGCAGGGCCGCGGGGTCTTGGGTGGCTGGAGGCCCGGGGGGGCCTGCGGGGCCCGAGGTCTGCTTAGCCAGCTGCAGGAAGAGCTCATCTCGGAGCGCAGGCAGGTCCCGGCAGGTCTGGAGCACACCCTGCATCAGGGGCCCGGGGCGCCGCGCCCCCTCCAGGGCCTGCAGCGCCAGGAACAGCCGCACCGCCTCCTCGCGCAAGGGAGCGTAGCCCGGACCTGCGGGGACGGCGGGGGCGGAGGGATGGTTTGGAGAGGGGACACAGAGCTGGGCCCTGGGAGGAAGGTGTGAACCAGGGGAAGGTCAGAGGGAGTGTAAGGGGACAGGGGTGGCAAGGAGGGGAGAGTGCGAAGGACAGGAAGAGTGAAGGGAAAGCAATCGTCCCCACAGAGCCAAATTCAACCCCTGCCTCCCGGGAATCTCCCCCTCCAGATCCCCTAAGGCTGCACTTTGAGTTAGTAGCTTGGATGGATGGACTATAAGGACACAGGGTCAACCTTCAGATTCTGTAATTGTACCGACAGCTATCACCATGGGCCAGAAAACAGGTTGGACCGCGAGTCAGAAAACCAGGGTTCTTCTCCCAGCTCCCCTTAATCCTCTAGCTTGAGGACCTGGGCCTGTCACTATTCCCTTTTGGGGAGAAGTATAACTAAATGAGGTCAGCACATTCTCCCAAGGTGGTGGCTTTTCCACCACTTGTAAAGGCAGTATGCCATGGTGTTGAGAGTATAATGAAAGAACAAAATAGAGAGTGTAAAAAACTCATGAAGGAACATCAATAGTCAGAATGAGATCCAGAGAAGGTGGTCAAAGGGAGCCTTTCCTTTCTGTGCTGGCTTTCCTCCCCCTCTACCTTGGGTACCAGTCTGCTCAGCTTCTGGTTTCATCTTCATCCTTTGAAAAATGAGGGGCTGGGTAGGCCCCCTGAGGACTCCTAGATCCCTATCAGGTGAGGCATTCAGATTCCCCATCCAAGGGACTTGGGCCATGGCAACACTCACCTGGGGCACTGACTCCGTAGGGCAGGGGCAGGAGTGGGGCATACAGGGCCCCACTAGTGTGCCTCAGAATTGGGTTCCGTCTGTAAATAAGGGCCACAGCTTCCGGGTCCCCATAACTCTCCTAGAGGCCATGGAAATGATCAAAGTGATGGAGAAGGGGGCTCACCATGAACCCAGAAAGTTTATGGGTCCACCACCCTCCTCTTTGTCCATGGAGTTCCCTCCCTCGCACCTGAATGTCCCTGAGCAGCAGCTGGGTGGGGGTCTCCAGCGGCGCCTTAGAGGCTATCACTTCGCGCAGCGCCACCCCCCAGCGCTCTGCCTCAGCCTGGCGGGGCGAGCAGAGCCGGACGCTATGCTTCCGGCCAGACACGGTCACTGACCACAGACCTGGGGGAAAAAGAGGCCGCGGAGGTCAATCAGGGCTGGCTGGGGCAGCTACCTAGGGAGGTAGGAGAATCCCCATGAGGTCTCACCGGTCTCCTTGGGCCTGCGCTCAGGGCCGGTCACCGAGCACAGGCTGGTGAGCACGAGGCTCCCGAGGCGCCGCGCCCCCTTCCCGCTGCTGCTGAACTGGTCCAAGGAGTCCCGGGTGAGCACGAACCAGGCTCGGCGCGGGGGCAACCAGGGCCGCGCCCCTCCTCCGCGGGGCTCGCGGTACAGCCAACCTGCGGGGAGAAAGAGGGAAAGGGGATCGGCAGGAGAAGACATTATCCCGTGGAGGATTGGGATTGGGGCCTCTAGAGCGCATGAGGTGGATCCCCACCTTTCACGACGACGTCTGGGTCGTCTTCTGACGGCCCCTTCTCCGGGATGAGGCTCCGTGTCTCCTCCCAGCTTTGCAGCCTGGGCAAGAAGGGAGCGAGGTTTGGGCAAGCCTGCCGGTCCTGCACCCCGCCTCCAGGAGGCTCCTCTCTAAGGGCTCCCCAGACAGCGAGGGGTGCCTACTCCCCGGGCTGGGCACCCCTCCCCCAGGCTGTGGGAACTGCTGGGCCGTTCTGACCTCGCACCAGAAATAGCCTGAACCCCCCCTTCCTCCCCGCGCCCCCAGCCGGACCGCCCCCCGGGACCCCGGCCAAACCACAGCGTCCGGCGTAAGGCCTTTCCCTTATTGCACAACCGCGGGAGGGAAGCCGGTGAACATGGGGGTCCCAGACCATGGGACGCAGGGGCTGAGTTCACCTGTCTGAGACTGGACCGCTCCTCACAGGCTGAGTCAGCGTCACATCCAGGGGGCCCTGGGGAAACAGGCAGGGCGGCCCTCAGGCTAAGAACCCTCCTCGAAGGATGCCAGTGGCTTCTGGCCCAGGACAGTCCTGCTCAGAGGATTGGGGAATCAAGGAGTGGGATGGTGACTGTGACTGTGACTGTGACCGAGCGAGCTGAATGAAGCCACTGGGCTAGCCCCTTCCACCAGTCTCTACAGAACAGCCCAAGCCAAAAAGCCAAGACTCTCGCCTGGTCTCTGTGACTCTTTAAAGAGGCAATCAGGTGTTGGGGTAGAGTAGAAAAAGCACTGGGCAGAGAGTCAGGAGACCTGGGTTCTAATACCGGCTCAACCGCTAACTCAGATCTGCAAACTTGCTGAGGAACCCTGGCAAGCCCGTTCGAGTCTTTGGGCCTTAAGTTCCCATCTGTGAAGAGGGAGAGGTGGATGAAGTCCTTTCTTGCTCTGGCAGTCGAAGTCACCCCCTCCTCCTCACCTCCCTTCATTGGCTGGCGGGCGTTCAGGCTGGCAGGCAGGCAGTAGGCACGGAGGTGAAGGAAGGGAAGAGGGACCCTTTCGGTATAGGGCTTTTTCCAAGAGCTTCTTATACCCTCCCACAGGGACCCCTGAAACTCAGTAGGAAGTAAAGACGCTGTCCTTTTGCTGGGGCTCAGGCCAGGCTGAAGAATACTCTCCTTGGGAGGTACAGTCCCGGATCTTGCCCTCCCCCTACCACACTCCCTGTGCCCTGGAACTCCTACTGTAGACTGGGGTCTAAGAAAGGCCTAAAACCCTGCCAGGAGCCAGGTCAGGCGGGAACTGTGCCATGGTCCCATTGCATCCAGGCAGCTAAAGTCAGGAGGGGGAGGTGGGGGAAGGGGGCCAGGGACACCTGTCCCCAAGCTCCGAGGAGGGGGGCGGTGGTGGAGGTGGAGCATGAGGGAGGCAATGGCAGTGGTTCACAAAGCCGACCCTGCTCAGGCTGGAACCTTGGGGACGCCTGGGTCCTGTGCCTTCGGGGGCACAGATCCTCTTATCTTCTGGAGGGTCTGAGAGGGGCTCTCAGCCACACCACCATAAGGGCAGGTGCTGACCCCTCTCTTAGACCAGCTCCCCTAATCGCAGTCCCCTGATTCCCTCCCTCCCCGCCCCCCCTCTATATTTATCCGCCCTCCGCCTCCGCCAGGTGCTGGCGCCGGCCCCAGCGGCGCAGCCCGCCCCACCCGGGCACTGAGCCACCGGGCCTGCTGGGGACCCCTGAGCGGGGGAAGGGAGCCTGACCCAGGCCACAGCACACGCGAGTCTGGTTGCCCGAAGTTTGCTTGCTGGCGTGCAGGGGCATCAGAGAGGGGACGTCAGGGGATGATGGTCTCCCACACCAATAGAGCCTCAGTTTCGCCACGGGGAGATTCGACAAAACCCGGGAGCCGAGTGTCCCTCACCATTCCCTCAGGGATTCCCCAGGAGCCTCACCAGGGAGGCCCTGAGTGTCAGGGTAATGATGAGGGGTCCTCGGAGAGTTGTGGCCCCCAACTCCCTCTCCATGGTGTCCCCGCCACGGACCCCAGTCTGAGGATGCCTGCTTCCCCTTGCCCAGGTCCCCGCTGCGGGAACTCCCGCATCTGGGCCCAGCGCTCAGTGCTCATGAATTGGAAGCGGAGCGGACCCAGGTGTCCGAGCCGCCCAGCCGGCCTCGCCACATTCCTCGGCGCTGGCGGAGGCGGAAGGAGACGGGATGGGACGCGGGCCCAGCGGGGAAGGGAGAGGCTGGGCCAGGTCGGGCCAGGCGTGACGCCTCCCCTGCCTCAGGGCCCCCAGCAGGTGGACAGCGCCCAGCGTGCTGCGCGAGGCCCACAGGCACATCCCGAGGCGGGCTGCTGCTTGAGCTCTCGGGGGCTTCTGGCCCCCAGGCAAAAACGTCTCCCGAGTCCCCAGTCCGCAAGAGCACGGCGCTTGGCTCGAGTCTGGAGCAGGATCAGGCGTGACGGCCGGTTGTAGTGAGAGGGATTGAGACAAGGCTTCAAACCCCCCGGGACTTACCCTCCCGCCGCCCGCTGGACTCGGGGTCCGTAGCTCAAAGGTCTCCTCGTCCTCGTCTTCGTCCCCGTCCCCGCTAAGCTCGCCGTCCCCGTAGTCCCGGTGCAGAAGAGTAAAGCCTCGACGGCAGCAGAGGAGCCACCACAATCCCCCGGGGAGAGGCATCCGGGCGAGCAGCCGGGGGATTGGGGTGCGGGCAGCCGGGGCCGAGCTGCAGGGGGTCGGAGAAACTGGCGGGGCTCCGACCCGAGCGGGGGGAAAGATGAGGAGGGAGGAGGGAAAGGGAGAGGGGAACTGGGAGGAGGCGGTGTCTGGCTCTGGGGTGCAAGGGGTCGCTAGCTAGAGCCTGCGGGGGGCTCAGAGTCTGGGCCCCCGGAGGGGGAGGGGGGAAGCGGGGGTGGGGGAGGAGGGAGCAATGTCCGGAGCTGGGAAGTAGTGTCCGTTGTAGTGTCCAGCCCTGTGGGGGGCAGTGTCCGGTGCAGTGTCCGAGGTGGGCAGTTGTCCAAGCTCCAGGGAGGGTCGTGTCCGGTAGGGCGTCCGGTGGCCGGGGCCCGGGCCGAGCGCGCTGCGCTCCCTGCAGCCCCGGGACTGGCGCGCTAGGGGCGCGAGCACAGTGCCGGGACCCCGCCTCCCCAACCCCCTCCCCTTCGGCCCCCCCCCCCTTCTTTCTCTCCTCCCTTCTTTACAGGGCTGTGTCCAGTTTTCGTCACAGCCTCCTCTGCCCAATCCCTGTGCCTGGCGCCGGGCGCGGCCACCAATCAAGCTACTGAAACCGCGGCGGGTTGCATCATGTGTCCCTGGCTTGGTGACAGCGGGGAGGGGCAGGGGAATAAGGAGGGAGGGGGCAATGCGATGTTAGCCACGCCCCCGCTTCGGAGGTCGGACACGGACTGCTAGGGACGTCACGGAAGCCCGCCTTCAGGCTCTTGTTTTAACTCTTGGCTCACCAACCAACAAATTAAAAGCACTCGAGCAGGAGCTTTGGAGAACAAAGTGCCCATAGGGCATAGAGAAAGGCTCCGACTGCTGCCCTCTGCACCCCTGTCTCGTCTCAGGGTTCCAGAGAAAGGAAAGCGCCTTAGCTACCTGCGCCAAGCACAGCCCTAGAGGTAGCCCTCCGCCGCTGGATGAAGGAGTCCAGTTCCGCGATCTGAGTCACCTCCTCTTGAGGTGAAGAAGCTGAGGAAGAGACTCTGGGAGAGTGCAGACCAAGGCCGGAAATAAAATCTAATGTAGAGCGCACAGCTCACTGAACTCCAGTTGGGAGAGTGACTTCGGATTCTAGGGAATTCCGTGGTCTTCGAATGGAGTGGAGTCTCCTCAGGGTGACTATCCCGCGGTTCTGTGTAGGAAGGGGTTAACCAAGGCTCTAAGCGGACGGGGCGGGGCCAGAGGAGGGGCGGGGCCAGGGCGACCGCGGGCGCGCGCGTGCGTTGCTGACTCAGCGGCGATTCCTGAGATCACTGGTGGAGGGTTCCAGGTTGGCCCCCAGTGACTGGCGTGTGGGACCCTTTGAAGATCGGCTCTGTGTCCGGGACTTCCCTGGATCCTGGCCCCTGGAGGCCGTGGTTCTTGGTCTCAGCCGCCGGAGACTCCGACAAGGAAGGCTAGCCGGAGCTGGGCGCGGCGGGACAGGGCGGGGAAGACAGGCCAGCGCCTCCCTGGTGACATCCCCGCCACGCTCCGCCCCTCTTGCCCTGGGTCCCCAGACTCCAGGCTGGAGTGGTCGGGGCAGCTTGGCTGACCGGATATTAAACTGCGAGAGTTGTCGCACGTGGACACCCTCCTGCCTGTCGTGACTGTGTAAAACAAAGACCAGGAATCAGTGTCTTTAGAGACCATCCCAGCCTTGCCCTCGCCCCAGATGAGAGTGGCCTGCGCTGAGACTTCCTAGGGATGGAAACACCACACCATATACTCTCTTCCCTATCTGGATCCCAGGCCCTTGCCTGCAGGGAAGTTCTTTCCCTTGTCTAACCTCTCTCCGGCAGGCTCAGTACATTCCCTCTGAGCCCGTCCCCAAGGAAGACGGAGAATGGCTGTCACCCCACCCCCACCCCGCCCGTGCTAACCACTCTTTGGAAATTTGCAAATTGGAATTCTCTCCTTGGATTTTCTCCAAGGTGAAAAACTGCGACTCAACTTTTCAAATAACTTTTTCTCTCCACCAGCGAACCTTAGAAGGGACTGTAGAGTGGTAACCGAATCCAACCCAAAACGGGAATCTCCTGGCCCCGTTCCTACCCCCACACCAGGCATAGGCACACACACAGTCCCCGACAGCCTCAGCCGGAACATTCCAGAGGCCGGGAACTCGGTACTTGCTAAGGCAGCCATTACTGGATAGCACTCTGGTTGTTAGAAAGCTCTTTCTTACACTATTTCAGGAGGAACGCTCGCCCCTCGTCGCCTGGCAGCTTCCCCACCTCACCTCTGTTGGCAGAGACCGGGTGAAGGTGGAGGGGGTGTCAGTGCCTAAAGCCTTAGCAGGCTCAGCAGCCCCTCACCCCCACCCAGGCTCTCAGCGCCTTCCACTCAGAGCCAAGCGCGGCGGAGCGCGAAGGGGCGGGGCCGTGGGGGACCCACCAGCTCTGCCCTGCTGCAAATCACTTCCAAGCCGGTGAGTCAAAAATAGTAACAGTTGTTGTGTTGCCCCTCATTTCCATGTTGTCAGTTTAATGTGCCGAAGTACAGAAGCAATTCCTGATGTCCCTACCTCTTTCTCAGTGTCCCCCACCTACTCCCTCTTCCCGCTACCCTCCCTGGAATCATTTCCTCAGCCCGCCCCCCTCCTCTTGATTCGCAGCCCTAGTAGTCCCAGAAGGAGATACTGTTGGTCTCCGTGGGAGCCGAGCAGGAAGAAAGGCGGGGCCGGAGGGGGCAGCGGCCGCGGTGGTGAGGCCCCGGACTACAGCCTCGACCCCGTAGCAGCCTCCGCAGGTCCTGGCGGAAGCGCAGGCCCAGAAAGGCGTAGAGCACTGGGTTGAGACCGCAGCGGGCGAGGGCCAAGCCCCCGGTCACCAGCAGTGCCAGATCCTTGCGCTTGCTGGCGGGGCAGCTCCGCTCGCGGGCCGCCAGGAGGTCGGCAGTATCCAATAGCAGGGCGAGACTGTAGGGCAGCTGCAGCACCACGAAGGCAGCCACCAGGGCCACCACGACGCGCAGCGCGCGCCGGCGCTCGGGCCCCCTGGTGGCCAGCAGCGTGCGGCCCAGGAGCGCGTAGCAGGCCGCCATGACGCCCAGCGGCAGCGCGAAGCCCAGGACCACCTGCGCCACGGCGCTCACCCCCTTCACCGTCTGCGTGAGGCCCTCGGGGAAAATGAGACGGCAGCGCCGCTGGCCTTCTCGCTGCCCGTCCTGGCTGAAAAGGAGAGCAGGCAGCGCCAGGAGCAGCGACAACAACCACACGATGACTGAGACCAAGTGTGCACGGCCCGGCACCGGGGGCCTCGGTCCAGCTGGGAGGGCCCGCGCGATGGCCACATAGCGGTCGGCGCTGATACAGGCCAGGAAGAGGAAGCCGGCGTGGAAGGAGGCCGAATAGAGGCCCGAGATGGCGCGGCAGGTGACACTTCCCAGACTCCAGCCCTGCAGAGCCCCGGCTGCGGCAAAGGGCAGGGTCAGGGCCAGCAGAAGGTCGGCCAGGGCCAGCTGGAGCAGGTGGGCGGAGGTGGGCGAGCGGGCAGCGCGTCGCGCCGCCAGGTGCGTGGCCAGGACCAGGCCATTGCCAGCCAGACCCAGCGCAGCCACCGTCAGGGAGACACTGGGTTGGAAGGCCCGACTGAAGGCCTGGACATCGGCCTTGTAGCAGAGTTCTGGCAGCGGCTCAGCCGAGTATGCCTCCTCATCGTCCCCGGAGTAGGGGCCCCAGGAGACCTGGGAAGGCCAAAATGAGAAGAGAGACCTTATGAGGCATGCCTCCACCACACACCTCCCCCTCCCACACATGCATTCCAAGCTGGGGGCTCCTGTGTGACCAGGTACAATGGTACAGTACCCGGGGAGAAGACATAAACTCTTCACACTCTTCTTAGCACACCCTCAGACAGGCCTTGGCTTCCCTCGCACC